AAAAAAAATTACATACTATATTTTAATAAATTAATTAATAAAATTATTAATCAGAAAAAAAATATATGGTTAGTTATAATATAAAAAGTGTCATTGTAATTAGAATATTATCTAACAATTGAAGGATACCAAAATATATTAATTACTGATTATATTTCCAACATTATACATTGCATCGAATATATAGATAGTATGATGCAAAAGCTAACCGTCATTATTAGAGATAACATAAAAAGAGTCATTGAAAATAATATAATATCTTCTATTTGAACGATTCTAATGATTATCTAATATAAAGTAAAAGTATTATCTAAGCCTCCATAACCGCCAATATCAAAAACAATAAATGTGATTGACAACCCAAAACAATATTCAAAAACTACAATTATTTCTTTTGATTACAAATACTTCTTATATATCCAACACCTCCACATCCTCTTCCGTTATCAAAAAACTAAAGAGTTATAAGATTTGCATTCGATGGATTTTAATGGTGAAAACTGGATTTTCCGAGATTCATCAAAGTATATACTTCCAGAAGAGCTGTATGATATGATTTTTTTTTCTTTATATCATATGATATTTATGTTTATCTAATTTTTATTTTTATTCAATCAGGAACTGAAAACAAATGTTACTTCTCAATAAAAATCTATCATGGAGAACATTTTTTCAACAATCCAAAAAGATCTTACGAAGGAGGTATTATTGACTATGTTGATTTTACCAACATAAATAATTTCTCTATTCAGATTTTCCAGAAAATAATCTCCTTTTTAGGCTACGAATTCCACAACACATTCTGCTACTCGTTGGTTACTTATGCTCCTTTAGATTTTGGGTTAAACAAACTTCAATATGTTCTTGATATTTCTGATTTTGTGGAAAAGGTGAAAAATGATGGGTTGTTTTGTGTCAAGAAATTTATATTGAACATTTTGTTAAAACTGTTTCGATCTACTTCCCAAATACTTTGAACATTGCAACCAACAGTTATATGTGTACTCTTCTGTACAAGTTGGTTGTTTCAAATCCAAATCTGAATGTATGGGAAGCTAGAATCAACATGTCTGACAACTTCAAGATATGGATCGATGTGCACAAACTTCATGAAGCTTTAGAGTACACAAAGCACCAAGTGAAGCTTCTCAAGAACTAGAAGGAAACAAGAAAGTCGATGAAGCAAACAGGGGGAAAATGTGGGTTTTGGGTTTTTGAATCTAGATGGTAGTTGTATGCAGAAAATTGATGTGTTATGACTTTAGAATGGAAGAACTTTATGTAATTTGATTATGTTTGCTACTTTCTAAGATGTTTATAAACAAGCCATGTGTCATATGTTTATTTAATTTATCTTTTGAGAAAATTAAGTATTATTTTGTTTATATATTAAGTGTTTGAATCGTCGAAAAATAACCAAATGTAATGCACCTTTTTAATAAAGAATGAAAACAATTCACCACCATCAGGGTCAAAAATGGACAAAAATGTCCTTTATGTCAAAATGTAAAAATTGACTTTAATGTGAAAATGCAAAATAGACAATGAACTTTTGAACCAGGAAGAAATCAACAATTTTGATTGATATATTAATTGTTTGATTAATTGTATTTTAACCAAGGGTAATACACCATTTCAATCGTTGGAATAAGTTCTGAATGAAAACAATTTTATGCATCGAAGCCAAAATGGACCAAATTGCCCTTCATGTTAAAATGGACCACATTGTCCTTTATGCCAAAAAGCCAAAAAATAAATGTTATTCAAAGTTGATTACTTTTTTTCCTTTCTAACTTCAAAGTTGAGTAGAAAACATGACATAAAGGGTAATTTGGTCCATATTGACTCTGCATCATACTATTATATTGTAAAACTCATATAACATAAAATTTAATACATATATCCCATACATTATATTTTCTATACAAAGTTGATTTTTTTTTTCCAATTTTTTCCTAATACCAAATGTAATGCAACTTTTTTGTACATAATGAAAACAACTCTCTTGCATCAGGTTCAAAATGGACGTAATTGCTCTTTCTGTCAAAATGCAAAAAAGAAAAGAAAAAGAAAAATTTTGAAACAGGGCAGAACAATAATTTACTCAATTTGCTATAAATTTAATAGACTACATGAAAAATATTACAAATTCGACATTATGAACCTACATCATACTATACAAAGTAGTTTTTTTCTCAATTTTTTCTAATACTAAGTCTAATGCACCTTTTTTTGTAAGTAGTGAAAACAATTCACCTGCATCAGGATCAAAATGGACCATATTGCCCTTTATGTAAAAATGGAAACAAAATTTCTTTTTTGAAAAAGGGCAGAACCGTAATTAATTCAATTTGCTATAAATTTAATATAATACATGAAAAAAAAAATCAAAATTTAATCATCAATCTTGATTGATATATTAAGTGTTTGATTACTTGTATTTTAACCAAGAATAATACACAATTTCACTCGGTGGAATAAAATTTAAATGAAAACAATTTATATGCATCAGGGTCAAAATGGACCAAAATTGCCCTTTATGTTAAAAACGACCAAATTGCCCTTTATGTTAAAAACGACCAAATTGTCCTTTATGTCAAATTGCAAAAAAAAGAGTTGTAAAGATATTTTATTTTTAATTCTTTGTAACTTCAAAGTTGTGTAACTTGCATCTAATCATATTTTTTATGTTGATCCATTTTACATGACCTAAAGGGCAATTTGGTCCATTTTTACACATAGTTGATTTTCTTTTCCATTTCTTTCTAATACCAAGTGAAATGCACCTTTTTGGTCAAGAATGAAAAAAAATGGACAAAAATGATTTTTATGTCAAAATGTACAAAAATGACTTTAATGTGAAAATGCAAAATAGACAATGTACTTTTGAACCAGGAAGAAATCATCAATTTTGATTGATATATTAATTGTTTGATTAATTGTACTTTAACCAAGGGTAATACACCATTTCAATCGTTGGAATAAGTTCTAAATGAAAAAAAAATTTCTATGCATCAGAGACAAAATGGACCAAGTTGTTTTCCATGTTAAAATAGACCACATTGTCCTTTATGTCAATATGCCAAAAAAGAAATGTTATTCAAAGTTAATTACTTTTTTTTCCTTTCTAACTTCAAAGTTTTGTAGAAAACATGACATAAAGGGTATTTTGGTCCACATTGACTCTGCATCATACTATTATGTTGTAAAACTCATATAACATAAATTTATATACATATATCCCATACATTATATTTTCTATACAAAGTTGTTTTTTTTTTACCATTTTTTCCTACTATCAAGTGTAATGCAACTTTTTTGTAAAGAATGAAAACAACTCTCTTGCATCAGGGTCAAAATGGACGTAATTGCTCTTTCTGTCAAAATGCAAAAAAAAAACAAAACAAATTTGAAAAAGGGGAGAACAATAATTTACTCAATTTGCTATAAATTTAATAGATTACATGAAAAATATTACAAATTCGTCATTTTGAACCTGCATCATACTATACAAAGTAGTTTTTTTCACCCAGTTTTTTCTAATACCAAGTGTAATGCACCTTTTTTGTAAGTAATGAAAACAATTCACCTGCATCAGGTTCAAAAAAGACCATATTGCCCTTTATGTAAAAATGGAAACAAAAAAATAATAGTTTTGAAAAAGGGCAGAACCGTAATTAATTCAATTTGCTATAAATTTAATAGAATACATGAAAAAAAATCGAAAATTAATCATTTTGAACCTATTTCATACTATTATGTTGTAAAACTCTTATAAAGAAAAAAAAATAGACAAAAAAAATTAAATAATGAACTTCTTTTACTGATTTAAACAAACAGAACATATGTATTTCAACAAAATCATGTAAAAGATAAGCGGATAAAATTAAATGTTCATATGATCAAAATTAAACAGAGAACCTTCATTTATTACATAGGAGGCATAATCTTTTAAAACTATCAAAAAATTTTATTACAATAAAAACAAATGAATCATAAACATTTTCAAAAATATTAATCATTTATGATAAGGACAATTCCTTTGATCATGAAAACCATAACTTTTGCAAAACTTACATAACCTCTTTTCCTTTGAATTCCCACAACTAATACCTTTTCCATAGGGACAATTCCTTGAATCATGATAAGATAATCTGGAACAGATCTTACAAATCCTTTTTGTTTTCTTGTTCATATTATCTTCATATAAACTTTCCATTATTATTTGATATAATATTATGTACATTTTTTGCTTAATATATATAATAATTCAGATCCGATTTTTTTGATGACTTTTCAATTCAACAACTAAAACCATATATTCATATAGTTTCCTGTTGATTTTTTCTGTTCATAAATATATGCTAGATTTTTGGAGTTCATCAACGAACTATTCACGAATTAGAATCATCTCATTATATATATATATATATATATATATATAGATATATATATATATATATATATATATATATATTATATATATATATTTATAAAATAATAATCATATTGTACCTATAATATATATTAGAATTTAAAAATTAAATAGTCATATAAATATAGAATTAATTTGAACCAAACAATTACAAAGCAAAATGTAATCCATCCACAAATTACAAAAAGACTTCACTAATTAAAACATAGACTTCTATTCATGTCTTACATTTGATGACTAAAACAACTTACAAATTTAAAGGAAAACTAAATAAACGTAAACAACAAAACATATCAATACTCTTGAAAACATAATACTGTTTCATGGACCAAAAGCTGCTAGACGAGATCCTATTTTAACTATACCATCTAGATATAATTTACGCCTATCATCATGAGACATCCTTTGATATTGACCAATTAGATTTTCAACTTCAGGCTTCATTATGTTCACCTCACTCAACAAAATTTTCAAACAATACCTCCTCCGCAGCTTCCTAATTTGATGTAATTGATCAGCACCTTCCTTTTTAAATCCACATTCCCATTGTGCTAACGGACCCCCTTTATAAGTTTCCATGTGCCTCATCAAAAATATGCCACAATCTCGAATTACCCCTTGTTTTCCATGTCATGTACTGATCGAAAAAATCAATTTCATATTGAACCGAAAACGCCATATTATGATTAATTTTAAGAAGATACCTCCCAAACATATATTTCTGCAACAATAAAAAACTAATATCATAAATAAAATATTACTAAGATTATATCAAAGTCAAAATAACATACCAAATTATAAATAAGATGTGGATATGCTTCATCAGAACTACTATACAACAGGTTGTCCAAAATCACAGCTTTTCGGTTCTTAAAATCATAAACAAACACAAAATAGTGATTGTTTGAACATGTAGGAAAAAACACCTATATATAAAAAAACAAATTTCATTAAGATAATTTAAACTTTTATATAAAATAAACATATCATATTAAAACCTTACCATATCAAATCCTTTTAAACATCTTCTATCTTCCGATACACCCAAACACTGAAGGACATTCTCTTTGAAATTTTTATACTCTTCTTCACTTTTAGTTCCTTTGATATGCATATATCCAGGATTCTACTTATACAAAAAAAAATTATCAAAGCCATATTGAAACAAATAATAAAATTAAAAAAAGTTAAAATTTACCAAAATACATGTCTTGAAGAAGAAACATGACGGAGTATCTTTATTTCTAGCTCTCTCATCATAGTTTAGAACATCAACAAAACAATCAATTGTTCCATAAAATAGATGTTCATGCGGATATAAGCTCTCAAACATATGACGTTCTCCACGTTGACCAGATATGCTAAGAAATAAGTTATCCCTACAAAATTAAAATGATAATATTAATATATGTTAAATTAATAATTACCTATATTCACAAAAAAAACCCCATTACATTGGATCTTCAACTAAACTTAATACCCAGTTAGATATTATGTTCTCTTCCTTTGTCAAAGTAGTATCAATAGGAACCACACGAATCACATAAGGAGACCTCCTTACTGGAGGTAACATTTGATCTCTTTTTGGCCTTGATTTAGATGGCAATTGATTTAGATCTCTTTTACTCAAAGAACTTGTAACATGCAAATTTTTACCCCTTACATTAACCGGAGAATCAACAAACCCTTTAAATATTGATTTCTCTTGCATTTTATGACCTGAACTTAAACAAGGCTTTGATTTCTCTTGCATTTTATGACCTGAACTTAAACAAGGCTTTTTTGGAGTATATAAGACTCTATTCCTAAACCAAAGGATGGTATATCTTCATTCAACATCCTTTTTCCAATTTCCTTACCTACAATACAAAAAATAAAAAATAGATTTAGAATTTGATGTCCTTTTGCATTATCATAAAATGAATAATTCATAAATATAGAAAACAATTACCCTGATGATTGAAAGAGTCATCCTCAAAACTAATTTTCCTTCTTATTGAGCCTGAACTTGAAACAGTATCAACATCACTCTGATGGAATTTAGAAAAAACTGAAACAATCTCTTGTAATTTCAATCTATACAATTGAAAATTTTTATGACTTCCATGCTTTTGCAATGCCATTTCAACTTTCTTATTCAAATCATAAACAGCCCACTGAATATCCGACTCACAATCCTGAAAATTTTTAAAATATAAATAAAATAAAAATTAATCCGAAATTTAAGAAAATATACAAATAAAAAATAAATCTTACATATATCGATCCACTTTCAAAATCTTCATAACAATTTGCAACAACACCATAACCGAAACCACCATTTTCCAATTCCTTGATTTCTCTATACTTAAGTTGATCTGATGTCCAGAAATTAATTACAGGAAATCTTCTGACAAATGACATTTGCTTACATTGAATCCTGTCAACATATAGCAACTACAAAAAACATCTTTAGTTAGAAAATATAATGATATGAATATTATTTATTATATAAAGAAATCAAAAAATTTAAAAGAATATACCGTTAGAAATTCACATGGTCCATTAAAAAATGTTTTAATTTCATTTCTGCTCCATACCACTTTCTCTTCCTTCAAACAATTCAAAACATATGCACACCAATCTATTTTATCCAACTTAGATGACTGAGACAAGTAAGGAAGAACTTTGAAATTACAAGCTCCTTGTTTGTTACATGATCCGAAACATGTACAAACCAGAATTATGAAATTCACAATGAAAACCATATCTGCTTCACTTCGCTCTATTATCTTCATCAACAAATCAGAAGGAGCTACTAATGACAATGGCTTCTTAAATTGGTCTTTCCAAATTTCAAACCAATCCTCATTACCTCGAACACCTAAACAACTTATTTGCTCATAACCCAATGGCAAACCTAGAACCCTATTCACATCTTCTCTTGTTACAGGAATATTTCCACATTCACTCTTAATAACCATCTCCTCATGATCAAAAGAATCCACAACAAAATAACATAATTTCGTTGGAATACTTTGAGTCTTCATATCAAGCAATGATCCAAAACCAATTCTTCTTACACAATCTTTTTGAATATCATTCATAGATTTCACAGACCCATAAATAGAATTAACAGAAACACGAGCATACAAAGCTTTCACATTACCAGCTTTACCATCTTTTTTTTTCTTTTTTATCAAATTTTTCGACAAACTTCTTAAAACTTCTTATACTCGCATCTTCATAATCTGAAACACTAGAAAAAGAATTACAACCTACAAAACATATCCAAAAATTACATTAACAATTAGATTAAAACTGCAAGAAGGTATTCAATCGGTTTGTATTTAATTTGAAATACCTTAGTTTCTTTAAATTTACTTCATAATAAAAATCAAACTTTAATAGGGTGTTTTAATGCAATAAAACAGCATCCTTATATTAATTGAATGTGGAATTAAAGAATATATTGATGAATACATACCTTCATTAATTTTTTTGCCCTTGAAAAGTTCATCATCAATTTTGTGTTTCTTAAGCTTCAAAGAATTGCTAGAATGAATCTCAATTGCCTTATTCACATCTGATACAATAAAAACAATTGTATTATCTACTGAATTAATGACAACTCACAAAACAACTACCTTCATTGCTTTTTTCACGTTTCTAAATACATCAACACTTGAAACACCTCCATCTTCAGGATCTTTCTTAATCTTCAATGATTTACCAGAATGTATCTCAATTGGATTCTTCAAATCTGGAACAAAATAACAGGAACTACATGAATCGATAAAACTAATAATTAAAGTTCTGAATGCTTGATGAATATGGATGAATGCTTGATGAATATGGATAAACATATGAACCTCCATCGAAAATTTGTTTCTGTATGAAATCTTCATCTGCATAATCTTCATCATCTTCAATTTCAATCGGATTATCAGCACAGTTCAAATTCCAATTCATGTTTCGAACTAATTCCTTTCGCAATCTGTTCTTTTTTTTCCTTTGCGAATTAAACTTTTTTTTATTTGAACGAGCATCCAATATGGCTTTAAACGCAAACATCGAATAAAAAACAAAACTGCAATCGATCAACTCTCATTTGAGTCAACCGAATGTCTATACATTAAAAACTAAATTGGTCCACTACGTAGAGAAAGAAGTTACCAACTGAATACAAATTTCAAATTTGAATATCCATAATAACTGATGAATACATTCAAAAAATATATATTTACAAGTATACCCTTTAAATATTAGAAAAATAATAAAAATTACAAAATACATGTGTCAAAAAATGAATGGTTCTCGCATTTTCGCATAATATATACATTTTCGCATTAACCTACTTATATATATATATATATATATATATATATATATATATATATATATATATATATATATATAATAGAAAAACAAAAAGATAAAAGAAATGGTAAAATTGTCGTTTTAAGTGGACCAGGGACGTGCAATGTAATTTCTTTAAACCATATGGATACATATTATCAAATTTTTAAATACTGAACTAAAAATATGAATCTGACCGAACCACAGGGACCAAAACTATAACTTACTCTTATATTAATAAGTTAATATCGAAGAAGAATTAAAATAATTTATAGAGTAAATTACACAAACGGTCCCTCGGTTTTGAAGTAATTTGCATGTTGGGTGCCTAACTTTTTTTACTCGGAACGGTTTGGTTTTATTTTAGATTTAGTCTCTAACAGACATGAAATGACTGTTATACTGTATTTCTTTTTTACTTTTTTTTAATGGTTTTATTTTTTAATAATATTAAATTAAGAATAGCCTATTTCCCACCTTCACCTTCTCAAGGTCAAAAAGATAGGATCACCCCTTCATCGACTGCCACCATCAAACACCACTAACCACCCCATCGTCGGCTACCTGCAACACCACCACCCCATCCAAATTTCAATCATTCCCTTTATGTTTTATTATTGTTCTACTATTATATAACGAAAATTATTAATGGACCACCACCACCACCACAACCCATAAACTTTTTCTTTCTTTTTCCCTTCCGGTCACCGACCACCTATATTTGCATAAACCAAAACTAATATAGGAAACCAAAGTGAAAAGCAAAAATCTTGAATTACAAATTAAAATCAACACGAAAACCAAAATCCAAGAACCAAGTCATATTAAAACCCCTGAAACAAAATCAAAAAGATTTATGAAGATAAACTCCTCACTCCTTCACGTCCTACGATTTTGCTGTAACAAAAATTAAAATCGATTATTTGGGTGAGACTGGTTTTCGGGGTAGAGAGAGAAAACATAGTTTCCTTCTTAAGAATTCGATTTGATGGTGGATGGGAGGGTGCAGATCAACAACGGCGAACAATACGTAATCGTTGTGGATGATGCAGAAATCAAGTCATGGTGGATAGAACGGTGTATATCGACAACGGTGGTTATCCATTCATGGTAGGCGACTACGGTGGCTGCAACCACACTTGGTTTTGGTGGTGGGTTTCAAGGAGTTAGGGTTTTTTTTATCTAAAGTTTGCTAGAAGATCATAATCTTTTGGGGAAGATTCAATAAATTTCTTCAAATATATGGATTTGTTTATATTGTTGTTGTCGATGGCTTGAAGTAGATTAAAAAAAATTAGAATAATGAAAGGATGATTTGTAATGGGGATGGGGTTGTGTGTGTATGAGAGAGAGAGAGAGGGAGATAGAGAGAGAGTGTGTGTGGTGAATTAGGTGTGGTGGGGAGTGTGGTTTTTATTTTCCTTTTCTTTTTTAATATTTAAAAATGATTAACAATAATTAAAAAAAATTAAGAGAAATTCATAAGTATATAACAGTCATTACATATATAGTAAGTACTAAATTCGAAATAATACCAAATTATAACAATGTTCCGAATTAAAAAAAAAAAGAGTTAGGGATAAAAACACGCAAGCTATCCTAAACCACATGGACCATTTATGTAATTTACAGTAATTTATAAGGACATATCGGTCATTTTAAATGTTTATGAGACCAAAATCGGGAGAAAAAAAAAACAAATCACAAAGACAGTTAAACTTCTTAAACTTACATGAACATATTTTTAACTCCAAATAAAATAAAATAATTAGTTTGTATGAAGTTTGTTATCATACTTATGTGAAATATTGTGAATCTATAGTTCTTCTTTGGCAATTTTAAGAAACTAAAATTATTTATTTCTTTTATTAATTTTCCCAAATATTGTTTCGATATTTATAGTTATACTTTACAGCTGCCAAATGATATCGATTAATTTAATTTATTTATATGAATTTTTGTGTGGTTTTTAATAACAGGACTCATAGTATTAGTCATATCAGTGGAAGCAATCCCATTGGAGAATCGTCTGCTACCCATCGTCCAGGAGGAGAAAGCCGCCGGTTGGGGGTTGGGGGTTTGCAATTCCGGCGGTGGTGGTCTCGGCGGCATTAGGGGTGTTTTTTTAGCAGGAACAAGCAGGTATCGCCCGGAGGTTCCGGTGGGGAGCCCACTCACAAAGGTGGCACAAGTGATTTTGGCGGCGGCTAGGAAACATCGGTTGTCGCCGGAAAATGATGGTTTGGGGATGTGAATCCAGGCGGGAGAAGGTGGAAACGATAGGACTCTCGATGCTCGTACTAACCAATTCAGGTATGAAATAGTTTCATTTACACCCCTCTACTTTCTGTAATTTCAGGTATGAAGTATTCATTTACACCCCTCCACTTTCTGTAAATTCAGGTATGAAACATTCATTTACAACCCCTCCATTTGTAGATGTTTGCAACAAAAAAAATTACAAAATTGATCCCTTTATGAGTAATTTAATTTAATTCAATTTTATTCTTTTAAAACAAAATTAATAGAAAATGAAATGGGGTTTATTTTGCTTAAAACTATGATATATATATATATATCGTTCTATCTTTTGTTTTTATTTTTCTTTCTATCTATTTAAGATGATGACAAATGTATAAATTTAACATTTTAATTAAATTAAATAACACTTGTCATCATCTAAAATAGATAAAAAGATAATAGACACAAAATATAGGATGATATTTAATTTTTCTCTCTTTCTTTCTCTCTCTTTTTATATATATATATATATATATATATATATTATATATATATATATATATAATTTGATTAAATCGATCACACTCACACCCCTTTCCTCTATGGCAACGGAGACTTCCATGGTTTTCACTAAAAGTGCTTACCATGATGTTAACCCCTCTCCAAAAAACCCTACCAAGGGTGGTTGGAAATCTGCCATTTTCATCATCTGTAAGCTCTATCTCTTTCCATCTCCATCTTTACACTAACACACACACATATATAAGTGTTGGTTCTTAAAATTTTAATTTCAGGTGTGGAGGTCGGTGAACGATTTGCTTACTATGGGGTGTCGGGAAATCTAATTATGTACCTAACGCTTGTTCTGAAAGAACCTCTTGCTACTGCTGCAAAAAACGTAAATTTGTGGCACGGCGTCTCCGCCATCTTTCCCCTTGTCGGTGGTTTCGTGGCCGATTCCTATTTTGGGAGATACAAAACCATCGTCTTTTCGTCCATTACGTATCTTTTGGTAGGTTTCCTTAGAAATCCACTTTATTACGTTTGATTTTGGTTCTCTTTTCAAAAGAGGAAAGTTGTTAGTAGTCATCAAATTTCGTATCAAACTTATACTCATATAATGGAACTCTTATAAATTTTCGAAACAATACTTAACTTTTTTTCTAAAACTTTTTAAATTAAAATACTAGTGCGTAGATCAATAAAAACTAATCTATTTTGTTGAGTGCTAAATTTCTATAAAGTTGTTACATAAAGAAGTTAGTATTAAGTTTTATATAGAATACGTCATTTAAATATATTTTTATTTTGACTTTTAATCGTTTTTGGCATCTTACATGATTTAGATTGACTATGTTGTTGAAAAGGAAAAACAAAATGCTAATGAAGTGGAAAAAAAAGATATCAATAATAAAAAATACTGAAGTTTCATTTCATCACTCAACCCGCGCTCAAATCACTCACGTGACTTCGCCGACGAGAGAATAATTTTTTACATATCTTTTTTCATTTATACTTTTATAAGCTTCTTATTTCGTTTTATTTTATAAACTGATAATACCAAAATATATATATATATATATATATATATATATATATATATATATATAATTTTAGAAATTACATTTACATCTGACCATGACGAAATCACATGGTGTCACGTGAGCATATATATAGTACATGGTTCCACCAATTATATCCCATTAACTATTTCAACTTGGTCTTTGAAATAATAATAAGTAATATATATATATATATATATATATATATATATATATATATATATATATATATATATATATATATATAAAAGGGACGGAAAAAATAATAATGGTACATTTGATTTTTTTTCCCACAAAAAAACATGGCTTGAAAAATTAAAGAAAAAAACGAAATAGGTTTTTTTGTATAATCTAATAGATGCACGCCCAATGTAAAAATCTACAACTATTTTCTTGGCTATTGATTATTATAACTTTCAATGTTCACAATTGATTATTTGATTCGTTGTTAATAATGGTTCCCTATTTAACCTCATATATATATATATATATATATATATATATATATATATATATATATATATTAGTTATTGCATACGCAAACATAATATATATAAAGGTAAGGGTCCTCGGGCAAGACAGCTAACTCATCAACAACAAGTTCTGGATCGGATGGTGCTCCTTTTTATATGGCTTTTTTTGTGCTTCTTTCTCTAAAGATTTGTGCATATTTTGAAAAAGAACCTAAAACCTAAATCCAAGAGTACACATCAATCATCCAACACAACCAACTATTCATAAAAGAGAAATGAATTACAGAACGCAGTGAGTGAAATAATACGGCGATCCAAAATAGTGGAATAAAAGAACTAGGAACGAGCAAGGAAGATTTTTAGCCCCAACGACATATTATATATATATATATATATATATATATATATATATATAATTTTGGATAAACGTTAGTTAGTTATTGCATACGCAAACATAATAGTAATTCTATTTTTAGCATATTGCATTAATTGTTTAGAATATTTATGATTTGGTTTAATTCATTGAACCATTTTAGCCTTTTGCTAGGATAATTCGATAAAAGGCTAACGAAAAATCTTTGATGCTAGCTAATAAGTTGTCTAATAAAAATTAATTTTTTTTAAAATTAGTTGAAATATATAAAAAAAATATATAGAAAAATGAGTTTTTTATATAATTAATAAATAATATATTTGAAAGAATTTTCTAAAATACTTAATAAGTTTCTTGAAACACTAGTAAGAATAACTTTTTGAAAAAAAAGTAACTTCTAAACTAGTTTTTAGTTTGTCATATTGACAACATAAAAAAAAACTCGAAAAATAAGTATACATATAAATTAGCTATCATGTGCCAAAGATAGTCTTAGTTGATAGTTGAATTGCAATTGTAACCGATAAGTTAATTGATAAAAAAAATGTTTCATAAAAACCTAGTTAATAAGCTAGCTTGAATGTGAAATAAAATTATATATATATATATATATATATATATATATATATATATATATATATATATATATTCTTTCAAAAAAAGACTATAAATACCCACTTACATACATACATATATACGTATGTAAAATGTTAAATAAATTATTTTTCTATTAACAAATAAAAAAATTTAATTACATAAAAACCTATTTTATTTGTTATAAATAGTTTATATCAATTTCGTATTGTCAGAGTTGCAAAAATCGCGACTAGGTCCCGATTAATCCCTAGGCGTTACTCGACCGATTAGAAGGCGTCTAGCGATTAATCCCTACATACACAATAAGTGTAGCAGTAGAACCCGATAAAAGTTTAACGTTTTGAAGAAGTTATATCACAATAGAAACTATTTGAGATATGGTTAGTGTTATATGAATCATATTAACCTATTTTGTTATCATATCAGTGGTATTTACGAACTTTTATAAGATATTAATCATATTTAATTTTTTAAAAATTCAAAAAGTTAGCAATTAATGGTCACCGATTAATCTCCCGATTAATCTCCGCCTAGCCAGATTAATCCATTGACCCCAGTCCACCGACTAGCTAACGTCGATCGATTTTTACAAACTTGCGTATTGTTTAACAAGCTACAATATTGGATGGTTTTATTGTCAAAGGTATTTCCCATACCATATCCTTTCTCATTATGTAAACATATATAGTACAATTACATAAGATGGGCTAAATTCAACAAGGCATACATGGGTCGGTACCTAAGCCTTATACCAATTCATATAAAATACACATATATTAATATAAGGTTGGACGGAATGGAAGCGGGAAAGGGGAGAGGGAAGCTTCCCTCTCACTGGAACACCATCCCTTGGGTGAGGGGAGCAACCCGCGGGAAAGAGGTGGGGGAGGGGGTGCCGCACTCTCTCTCCTCATGTTATTGGGCAGTTTTTTTTATCTTTTTTAATATTTATAAAATTATATATCTACTAAAAAAATATAAAATATCTATCAAAATTCATGGTTTTTAATTCCCTACAAAATGAGTGTAATATATGTGTGAAATATATTTTTTTTAAAAAATAAAAAAATAGTGAGGGGAGCTTCTCACCCATTCCTTGGGTTTTATGTGAGGGAAAGGAAAGTGAATGAAAGGGTGGTGTGGCCCACAAAAAGTGAGGGAAACATCCCTCCAATACCCTCCAGTCTAATAATATACGTTAACGTCCCCCTGCAGTTTGAACTGGGGGTGAAAGACAGAATGTTCAAACTGGATCTAAAGTTGAGAAACAATGGTGTTAGAAGACGTTTGGTGAAGATATCAGTGAACTGAGACGAAGACGGAACATGTAACATGCGAATTTGCTTGTAGCAACTTTATCACGAACATAATTATGTCAATATCGATGTGTTTAGTATGTTGATGTTGCATGGGTTATCGATGATATACACAACACTCATATTGTCACAATAAACAATGGTGGCTTTGTTAGGGGGCTTGTGAAGTTCCAGAAGGAGGTTGCGAATCCAAGATGTCTCAGCAATGACATTAGCAACTATGCGATATTATGCCTCTGCACTAGACCAAGAGACAATAGTTTATTGTTTGGATGACCAAGAAAAACCAGAGGTGGAACGTCTAGAGGTTGGGCAGCCAGCCCAGTCAGCATCTGAATAAGCGATTAGCCCCTGAGAAGAGGAGGCGTAGAGTTGTAAACGATATGTATCAGTGCCACGTAAATACCGTAGAATACGCTTGACAGTAGTAAATTGAGGCTTGTGAGGATCATGCATATGAAGACATATCTGCTAAATTGCATAAGTGATGTCTGGTCTAGTGAACGTGATATACTATAATATGCATGCTAAGTTGCGATACAATTCAGATCAGCAACAAGAGGACCAAAAACACCAAGTTTCGGAGAAGTGTTGGCTGGAATCCAAGTCGGCTTGCAATTTTACATTTTGGCTCACTCAAGGATGTCTAGCACATACTTTCGTTGGGATAAGAACATACCTTTTCGATCACGAGACACCACAATACTAAGAAAATAATTAAGACCTCCAAGATCTGTCATAGAAAACTAATTACCCAGAGTAGTAGAAATACGGTGTAACAACTCTGTAGAGGAGGCAGTGAGCAGAATATCATCAACACATAATAATAAATAAGTTGTATGTGAACCATCTTTGTAAATGAAGAGAGAGGAATTGTAACAACTATACACAAACCCAAATCCCATAATAAACTGAGCAAATCTATGAAACCGAGCTCTAGGGGACTGTTTGAGGCCATAAAGAGATCTCTGCATAAGACATACATGATCAGGAAATCGATGATCCCCAAAACCGGGAGGTTGCTTCATATAAAATGTTTCATGTAAATGACCATGTAAAAAAACATGTTTCACATCAAGTTGGCGAATCAGCCAATGATAAGAAGCATCTATAGTGAGTATTGTAAGAATGGTAGCCGATTTTACAACAAGGCTAAAGGTCTAACCATAGTCAATGCCAGGCCATTGTGTCTTGCCATTATCCACGAGACGGGATTTGTACCGAGCAAGAGAGTCATTTGTATTATGTTTCTTTTTAAACAGCCGGATGCAATTAATGATGTTAGCATCAATAGGGCGCGGGAAAAGGGTCCAAATATAAATAAGTGCTTGATAATCCTCTTGCATGACATTTCACCAGTTCGGGTCTCGAAAGGACTGTAAATAGAAACGAGGAATGGGAGAAGACACATCAACATGAAGGTTCAACTTTTGAATAGGTTTTGATATAATGTAACGAGAACGAGTCGCCATCGGATGAGATGAAGTAGGTGGATCAACCGGAGTAGCAGTGGTATTTTAGACAAATATGGAGACAAAAGGCTCGTAAGGAGCCATTATCGGAGAAGTAGCGGAAGATTGGTCAACAACATGCTCGAGAGGAGTTGCGCCATCAGTACCGGAGGTCGGGATGGAGGATTTCGAAGGGGAGACGTCAAAAGGAGAGGCATTTCCAGTAGGAGAGGTGGTAGTGTTAATAGTCAGAGACAAGGGTAACCCAGAAGATCAAAGGATACTGATAGAAACAAGATTGATGTCTTCAGTGTCATGATCAAGGAAGTGATAGGAAGGAGATTGAGTAGGAGTCATGCAACCAAACACGAATGAGGTTTCGTCAAATACCGCATGTCTATATATGATAATTTTTTATGGCAAGATTTAAACACCGATAACCGCGATGATGAGTTGGATATCCTAGGAAAACACATGGAGTGGAGCGTGAAGATAGTTTGTGAGAGGTAACAATATGGGGAAAACATAAACAACCAAGTTTGTGAGAGGTAACAATATGGGGAAAACATAAACAACCAAATACGCAAAGATGAGAATAACTGGGTGTTTTATTGAAAAGTTTTTGGTATGGAGTGGAATTATTTAAGAGTTGTGGAAGGAAATATATTCAGTAAATGAAACGCCGTGTGAATAGCATCTACCCAATATTGTGGTGGAATGTAGGCATGAAAAAGAAGAGTACGAATAACGTTGTTAATTATGCGTAACACACATTCGGATTTTCCATTTTGTTGAGACGTGTGTGGGCAAGAGAAACGAGCGGGAATGCCATGAGTGTCACAAACAACTTGAAAAATAGAATTATCATATTCACCCCATTATCACTGAATAGATTCAATAGTAGAATGAAGTTGAGTTTGAACGAATTTATAAAAGTGTTGAAATTTAGAGAACAAATCCGATTTGACATGTACGGGATATACCCATAAAAAATGCGAAAAATTCTCAAGAATGACATAATATTTTATTCCGCTAACACTAGAAATAGGAGAAGTCCATACATCAGAATGAATTATTTGAAATGGATATTGCGCAACAGAATTAGACATAGTAAAAGGTAACCAAACATGTTTACCCAACTAACACGACTGACATAAACTAGATTTATTTGAGTTCAAACATGGAATCAAACTTTTAGATGTTAAATGTTGAAAAACATGAGGATCCGCATGACCAAGTCATTAATGCCAAAAAGATGTGCCGATAGACAGAAGAGCTTGACGGGTCGACTTGGTGACTGGATAAAGATCACCAAAACTGTCACATTGCAAAAGAGTTTGTCGACTTTGAAAGTCATGCACAAAGAAACCAAATTCAATTATGCATTTATTGTCTTTAACAAAAGGAAGAACATAGATTAATTTTTTTTATAATATTTGGAGTAATAAGAATACGATTTAAATGAAGTAGACGAAAAGAGTGACTATGAGGAAGAGTTGTGTGACAAGAAGTTTTTACAAGAATAATAAAACCATCACCAACTAGTACTGTAGATGGAAAATCATTATTGCTAATAGAATTAGGGATACATGAATCCGCGTAAAGATGAGCAGTCACTCTCGTATCCATATACCAGTTTGCTTGAGTCGGATCATTCAATGTAACGGTGTTAAATATTTGCAGAAATAGAGTGGCTTGTTCTTGAGTAATGGGTTGAGGCGAGAGGAAGGCATGTTGTGAAGGAGAAGCATTGGGCCAGGTGTGTTGAGAATGTGTAGCAGTGGGCCAAGTATGATGGCGAGAATTAATTTGGGCCTGATTATGTTGGATCAGTGGCATGAACTGATGTTGTTGTTGGGTTGAAGACCAAGTGGGTAGAATTCTGGGAAATGTGCAACGCACCATAGGACCAAGGGGACCACCTCCAAGGAGTTAAAACCATTCTATGTTGCTGTTATGATTAATGATTACCACCATGTGCACCTCGTGCGCCTCCTCTGCCTCCTCCTCATGAGTTCCTGTCATCCCTATAGTTTCGGCCACCTGGTCGACCACCACCCTGATATTGTTGAACATTATTTCCTATTCTGTAATTTTGATTGTTCAAACTATGTTGCGTGGGAAGAGTTATTGGAGAATATGAGTGATCGGAGTGAGTACATGTAAAGAGAGAAGATCGATTTTCATTATGTTTCATTTGTTGTTCCTCCATTATGAGAATCGATCTCGCTTCAGCAAGAGTTTGGAACGGAGTTTTGTGACGGATAATGGTAGCCACATTAGTTATCTCTGAAAAGAGTATCCAAGCTTTTCCAAACATCGTACGCAATATCATTCCTTTTGAAAATAACCTGAAGGGAGTGGTAGAACCCTTAGCACAATGTCACATCATTTTTTGTGCTGCCACATCATGTTTTTTGGTGACACTTCACTAGCATGTTTCCCTTAGTATTTCATTGGGAGTTGTAGTGTGGTAATTTAATAGGGTTGATTTAAGAAAAGGGGGGGGGGGGGGGGGGGGGGGGGGGAAGGGGAGGGGATGGGGGAATTAAAATAAATAAAGAAATAGAAATCAATCAAAGTCAATAGGGCAACCGCCAATCAAATCCTCTTTCTCTCTCTCTCTCACACATCTTGTTGAGTTGTCGGCGAGACCTCCCCAGCGAGCTCCCTGGCACACGCCAAGGGCGGTGTGTAGCGAGGGTAGCAACGCATGACGATCCCCTCCTAGCGCCCCACTCCCTATAGCCTTAGAAGGATGAATACTTCATATGTTAGTGGTTGATAGTTATTAATGATGGTTTTCAACAAAAAATACGGAAAAAAAAGGGTATGTGGAACCCATATTTATTAAACTAATTTTCTTAACAAATTAATAATAATAAAAATAATAATAATAATTTAGTCCTTGTGGTTTGCAAAAAACTTTTGATAGAGTCCAAAAAATTCCCGACTTGCATGGAATGTCCAAAATCAAAACTTTTATGTGGTTTTGGTCCTAAAATTAAGAAATTATAGGGGTTTTGGTCCATGAAACACTTGAATTGACCTTTTTGCCCTTTTAATTTCTTTTTTGAGTTTTTTTAATAATCCTTTTTCACTTTTTATTACTTAAAAATAAAAAAATGATGGGCCTACTAATGACCCATCGTCTTTTGATCATAAGAAAATAGTTGACCATTCATTCTTCTCTCGACCTTCTCTCTCAACCTCCTTTACTCTCTCCTGCAAGATAAAGCTTCCACCATCGTCCTTGTCTCCACCGATGATAGCAGCCGAGTTTTTCTCGTCTTTACCCTCTGTTCTAACTTTATGTATGTTCTACCTATACCTAAATAAACACTGCAAACGGTTATACATGAGAGAAAGAGAGAAGAAGGTTAACATAATGAAATCCTTGAAGGGAAAGAAACGACGACGATTCAAGGAGGGGATTATCACCAAAAATCACAAGTACACAGAGGCTTCTAGAACCCTAGTTACGCATAAAATTAGGTACGAATTGATAGTGGAGCTTAGAAGGGCAGGTTGAGCATTGACGAGGCAAATGCGTCATTACACGAGTAGAGGAATTGATTGGCTAGTGTTGGTATCTGATGATTCTGATTTCTTGGATATGCTGAGAAGGGCTAGAGCTTCAAATTTAGGGACGGTGGTTGTAGGTGATTAGGACAGAGCATTGGGAAACAAGCTGATTTGTGGGTTCCATTGAATAGGGTCAAGAATGGGGAGATTACAGAAGAATATTTGGTACTCAGAACCAGAAATGATTTCATATGAATTTGTATGTTCATACCCAGAAATCTAGAGAGATAGAGAGGCTACGGTGGGTATAGGTGGGGTCGAGTGGGCGGTGGCTATCGACGATGGGAGAGGTGGCTGGAGATTGGCGAGGTTGCTGGAGGTGGGTGATGATGGATCTGGTCTGGTTTTTTCATCTAGAAATTGCATGTGAAATGAAGGGAGGAAGAAGAAGATAAGGGGGATATATATATATATATATATATATATATATATATATATATATATATATAGAGAGAGAGAGAGAGAGAGAGAGAGTAAAAAAAGAAAAGGAAATAGAAAGGGGGAAGGGGTACGATGGAGATGGATGTGGGTGTTGTTTTATTTATTTTTTATTTTTTTATAATTATTTAAATTCTAAAATAAATAAAAAAATGTAAAAATAATAATAAGGGTAAAATAGTCTTTTTATATTTATTTGGACAAAATCACATAAAAGTTTTGATTTTGAACCTTTCATGCAAGTTGGAAACTTTTTGAACCCTATCTAAAAAATTTTGCAAACCATAATTTGTCTATTTAATTTTAGGAGATCAAAATCGCAACAAAAACAAATTATTAAAAAAATAGAGATAAACTTGTTAAACTTTTGATTAACATATTTTTAACTCTAAACAAAATAAAATAATTAGTTTGTATGATGTTTGTTATCATAATTATGTGAATGTGAATGTATAGTTCTATGTTGGAAATTTTAAGAAACTAAAATGATTTATTTCTTTTTTTTCTCTCTCAAATATTGGTTCGATATTTATAGTTACATTTTACAGCTGCCAAATGATATCGATTAATTTAATTTATTTATATGAATTTTTGTGTGGTTTTTAATAACAGGGACTCATAGTATTAGTCATATCAGTGGAAGCAATCCCATTGGAGCATCGTCTACTACCCTTCTTTCTAGCACTTTACATAATCAACATCGGAGAAGGTGGCCACCGTCCCTGTATTCAGACCTTCGCCGCCGACCAATTTGACGACCATCTCCCGGAGGAGAAAGCCGCCAAGAGTTCATTTTTCAACTGGTGGTACTTGGGTATTGTGCTTGGCGCCACTTCCGCCATACTGGTTCTGATTTACGTTCAAGACAACATCGGATGGGGTTGGGGGTTTGCAATTCCGGCGGTGGTGGTCGCGGCGGCGTTAGGGGTGTTTTTAACAGGAACGAGCAGGTATCGCCGGGAGGTTCCGGTGGGGAGCCCACTTACAAAGGTGGCACAGGTGATTGTAGCGGCGGCTAGGAAACGCCGGTTGTCGCCGGAAAATGATGGTTTTGGTATGTGTGTTGAGGCGGGGGAAGGTGGAGACGATGTGACTCGATCCTTGGCTCGTACTAACCAATTCAGGTATGAAATAGTTCCATTTACACCCCTCTACTTTCTGTAAATTGCAAATCACCGACCACCTCAAGCTGGTATCAATGGTGTTTTCCGGTGAGTTACAAACACTCGATTTTCTCAGGTTTTTGGACAAGGCGGCGATGATGGACGAAATCGACCGACTTCCGGGGAAAAAGAAGGATTGGAGGCTGTGCACAGTGAACGAGGTAGAACAGGTGAAGCTTCTCTTCCGGCTGATTCCGATATGGTTATCCTGCTTAATGTTCGCCGTTGTGATAGCCCAACTCGGCACCTTCTACACCAAACAAGCCAGCACCTTAAATCGAACCATCGGCTCCTCCAGCCACTTCCAAATCCCTCCGGCGTCCCTTCAAGTCCTCCCAGGCCTAACAATCCTAACCGCCGTCCCAATCTACGAACGCCTCCTCATCCCCACCGCCAGACGCTTCACCAACCACCCCACCGGAATCACAATCCTCCAACGTATCGGAGTCGGGATCTTCTTCTCGATCTTGACCATGATCGTCTCCGCCCTAGTCGAATCCCGGAGAATCAGAATCGCAAAAGAACATGGTCTAATCGACACCCCGAAATCAATTCTTCCGATGAGCGTATGGTGGCTGGTGCCGCAGTACGTGTTGATGGGAATCTCCGACGTGTTTACAGTCGTGGGGTTACAGGAATTGTTCTACGATCAGGTGCCGGAGGGGATGAGGAGTATGGGAGCTGCGGCGTATATGAGTGTGGTGGGTGTCGGAGGCTTCATAAGCAGTGCACTGATAACGGTGCTGCAGGCGGCGACGGCGAGACATGGGGATGAATGGTTGAAGGGGGATAACTTGAACAGAGCACACCTTGATTACTTTTATTGGGTGTTGGCTTGTTTGAGTGGATTGAGTCTGGTTTTATATGTAGTTTTGGCTAAGGGTTTTGTTTATAAGAAGCTTCAAAGGGATGATGGGGTTTAACCGTTTAGGGTTTAGGAGTCAATCTGGTCAAATGGTACTTACTATTTACTATTTAGGAGAATTCTAATATAGATTCTAGATTGATATCCCAGAATTAATATGCTTTACATATGATAAGACATAAGTCGTGTAAAAAGGTAAACCAGGGTTATAATTTGTATTTTTGAACGGGTTAAGAATAAGACTTAAGATAAATGGGTTGCTTGACCTATATTTTTTTTTCTTGGAAATAACTTATTTTAAAATCTAGAATGGTATATGATGAATCAACTATATATATATATATATTCACCTTTGTACTATTTCTTATGGGAAGTTTACCTTTGGACGACTATCTTTGTAGTATTTTAAGGACTTCTTTTTATAAATGATCCGTGTTTCTCCATCGACAATTTTAAGTATTTGACTTGTTGCTTTTTTCATGTTTTTTTTCCTTGCACAAAATTCCTTTTACTATGCATGTTAAAATTCGATTTAAAATGTTGAACTTCATCGTCATTTTTTTCTTCTAATTTATCACCGGGGTTCGATCTCGGTAAACTAAAAGAAGACGATATCTCTTTTGTCTTTATCCCTACCTAAAGATCACATAGATTCTTAAATTTCACATTCGTCATAATCATCCTTGAAAAATCTTTACACAAACATCCGATAAAGTTGTATAATTCAAGTCATATATATATATATATATATATATATATATATATATATATATATATATATATATATATATATATATATATATATATTTAAAGGCGCCGCTTGGATGAGCGATCGTGGCATTGTTCCATTTTGGGCTTTTGTGACAACCTACAAAATGTTTTCGATCACTTTGATTTTTTTTCGTTGATTGTGTAAGTTGTTATACAATCATTTCTTGACTATTTTGTTTTGTTGTGAATTGTGATTAGGGTGTGTATGAGTCGGTTATAGGCCAAAACATATCATAATCATTACTATCGGTTAATATATTTTGGTAACCATTGGCTATTGGTTATTATTGGTTTCGGTTAATGGTTTTATTTGGTTAATGGTTTTGATTATCGGTAAATATTGGTTAAACCAAAATGATCAAAAGTTATATAACAATAAGAAGTGTGTTGCTATAAACTGTGAAATACAAATAATGCATTACTATAAAAAAGTAAAAATTAGAAAGTATGTTGATATAAAATGAAAGAAAAAAAAAACAAATAGTGTATTTTGCTATATGTTAAGTATTATAATTGTAATTTTTTTTTACCCTTTTAGCATCTCAATTAAACGACCATCAATGTATCAGAACTACATTTTTAAAATTTATCTTCGGTTTAAAAAAGAATTTTGAATATAAATAGGCAAGTTTTCAATTTTTTTTTTTAAGTTTCTGAGTATTTATAAATTTTGCTCTTACTGAGTTTCTGTCATAAACAATTCAAATTTCGATGGTAGTTGAGGCTATAGTCGATAGAGAATCAAAATAAAGATTGGATTAGAGAATTAAGAATTTATACGAAAAAATGGTGTGAAGTACAGTTACTGTGATAAGAAGATTCAAAATTATGGTACAACTTTCACCACATTGGTTTCTGTCGATTTTTGCAAGCTCTTCAAGCAATTCAAATTTATGGTACAACTTTATTGCTTTTAAACTTATAATATATTCCTTATTATTAATTGTGATAAATTTTTAGTCCTATCAATGTAACTCATTAAAATATCACAATGTACCCAAGAGAACTGTTTAAGTCAAATGTAGCACTGAAGGGAGTAAGTAACAGGCATTGTCTGAACAAAATAAGTAAAACTACTAGAAACTGTGCATATGAAACGTCTGAAAGCTAAAACCTCCATTTACCAACATTAACAAGCAACTAATCTCTAATTGCTAAAACCTACTGATGAAATTACCAATCTAACCCGAAATTACACAAACAAGATAACAATTTGCAATCTCAAACCACAAACTTTGCCCAGGATCCAAAATCCAACCATCTGCTTTTTATTAATCTTCCACAAATAGCAAAGGCTTATTCCTCATTCTCTCTGCAAAAACAAACAAGTGGATCAAATAACCATTCTCTGTGTAAAATTATATTTAGTTGATATACAAGCAACAAAAATGTACTACTGTTTTTTTTATATTAAAGCATTATACTTACATAATTTCCTAGGAAAACATTGTACTTTGAAAAATCTATCTGATTTCAGCATTGTACTTTTGACTTTTTCTTATCAAGATTTTGTACTTTGAAAAATCTATCAACTTACATCATTGTACAGATGAAAATTGCTTTGATTTTGGATAACACTGCTAATATCAGATAGATTTTTATGGAACAATGTTTATTATAAACAGATATATGAAAGAACATTGTACAACAAAAATGAACCAGATTATATTTTATACCAGTGAAAATATACTTTCAATTCTTTTCTTATCAACACATGTTACTTCAAAAAATCTACCCAATTGTAACATTGTACCAAATTATATAAGGGTTAATCTCAAAAAAAACCTTATATTTTGTGTTTTTTCCGGATTAAACCTCAAAAAAAAAAAAAAAAAAATTGCCTGATAAAAGACTTTGCATTTTTTCATTTTTTCCGATCTGGCCCTCTTAGTCATTTTTTCCCAAAAAAATTTGTAAAATGTGAGGGTTTTTTCGAAAATATAAGGTTTTTTTTAAAATTAACCCATTATATAACTAATTAATATTTTGGATTATTGGCAACTTGTAAGTTATATATAAAAAAACAATATTTTAATAATACACAACAAAAGTACAATGTTATAAAAAAACACTTACTTGCATGATCTCTTATTATGTCCAAGCCCTTTACACTTCCCACACTGCAATTGCCTTTTCAAGAAATCCGACGGCCCGATCCGCCCGGCCGCCACTTTCCTAATCTTTGTCCTGCCCGGAGTCCGCATGGTGGGCGGCGGTGTCACCAACACCGCCCCATCCTCCGCCTCACTATCCACCAACCTTTCCACATTTGGAATCGGATGAATCGAGTCAGCATAAGTGGACTGATACGTTTCCACATGAAAATACCTCGAACAATGATCATACGGGCTCCGCCCATAAGATTCCAGCACAGCAATCGCATGACAGCATGGCAGTCCAGTCAGCAACCACCCTTTACAGCTACAATCCCAATTTTCTATATCGACGATATCGACGGTTTCACCGAACCGGACCTCGAATTTGCTCCCGTGGGACCGGAGGATTTGGACTGCTCGGGCTTTTATGATCTCGTTTTTTAGTTTTTCTTCCATGGATGGAGTTAACCGAGTTAACCACTGAGTTGACTCGACTCGGCGAGTGTAGATGAGTTGCATCATTTTGCCACGTAACTCGTCGATCATTTGGGTTATTGGTAACTCGTTGGCTTCGGATACCCATGAGTAGAAAAGATGCCCGAAGTTTGATGTCATGTGGTTGTACCTAAAAATAGCCACAAAAATAATTTTTCAAGAAATGACATTATTTCGCAAGATAAGGATGTCATTCGCGAAAAAAATGATTTTTCGAAATGTTTTTTTATTTCACAAAATTGCTATATAAATGGTCCCTACTACAAAAAGTCTTATGGTCATCTTGTGATAGGGACCATCCATATTGGTCATTTTAGTGAGTAACACTTTTTTAAAATTATCATTAAAATTTACTAGATATTATTATATAAGCTTATAAAAATGATTAAAAATTTTATCTTCAACAAAAAAAAAATCTGTCAAGATAACTAGTACCAAAAAGACACAAGAAAAATTAAAAAAATAAAAATAAAATGGTCCTGTCCTTTTAAAAGAGTTAAAACAAGAACCTCACCTTTCATTTTCACGACTTTTCAAGAAAAGGACAGGTCTTTTTCGTTTTGAAAAAACAAAACTGTTTAAAACCAGACTAAAAAAGTAAAAAGTAAAAAGTAAACTACTCTATTTATTCATATAAAATTATACCTTAGCCCACCAAAAAACGTATTGGCCCAATGTTCAGGTTCGCTTCTAATAACCCAATTATACGCTTCAGGTGAAATGGCTTTAATATCCTCCGTACATTTCTCAAACGCCTCAAGCTTCGGTGCATGTGCAGCAGCATATAAATCCTCCACCATAAGCCTTCTTGCATCATGCGAAAAATGCCCTTTCAAATCCTTATTCAATTTTTCCGCTAAATACCCAAGACAATACGCATGATAACACTCCCCACCAAATATCTCCCTCAAAGACTCCCTCAACCCCTTTTGAAAATCCGCCACAAACGTAATTTGCCCCGGTGTATGCACCACAAGCTTCAACTCCGTCAAAAACCACCGCCAGTTCTCCGCCGTCTCCTCGTCCACCACCGCAAACGCCACCGGAAACGCCCCATCATCACCGTCGGCCGCCGTGGCGGTCAACAACATCCCTTGGTAGCGCGAATTCAACGGTGTGGAATCGAGGAAGAGCAACGGGCGGCATCCTTGTAAGAAACCGGAAATCGATGCGTGAAAAGACACAAAAAGACGATGAAAACTCGAATCCTCTTTCGTGCTAAATGTAGCAAGAGATCCGGGATTTGTTTCCATTATTTTCTCACAAAAAAACGGGAGTTCGGAATACGCGTCTTTATACGATCCAAGAAGTTGTTCGCGCGCGTATTCTTTAGCCCTACGCGCTTGCGAGTAGTTTAAATCGATCCCGTAATCGCGTTTAAGTTCAGTCGCGATGTCTTTCGGTTTGATTTTTGGTGATTCTTTTACTTTTTCTTTTATTAAATTCCCTACCCAACTTCTTTTCGCGCGAAATGGAGCTTTTGAAGTGACACCTTGGCAATTATGAACGGGTCGCATTGTTTTGATGCAAACCAATTGAGTTGTGGAAAGTTTCGAGGCGTGGATTCTCCATGGACAACCTTCGGCTTTGCATTTTACAGTGACGCGTTGGTTTTCGTTTTTTTTGTAGACGAAGTTGAAGGCGTGGGCGATTGAGAATTTGCGGAGAGCTTCGCGGAATTCGGCGAGGGAATGGAATCGTTGGCCGACTCCGGTGATGAGATTCTCCCATTGCTTGGCGGCCATGCGTTGGTCGGAATCAATGACCGCCATCGGAAACGGATTCGCGGAGATCGGAACCGCTCCCGGAATGATTTCGGTGGTGGTTTCGATGTCGATTGGCTCGTTGAGTGCGATTGCGTTGTTTGAGGCCGGAATTGAGGTCGGAATTGGAGTCGCTTGAACCACTGCTGTTGTTTCCGTTGGCTTCTGTGGTGTCTTTTGTGGCCTACACAAAAAATTACAAAATAACAAAATTAGGATTTATTTTGGGTAAAACAAGGAACTAGCAATGTAATTTCATTGATTTGTGTATTATTTAAAGTATTCTACATTCATTTCTTCCTATCACAACATTTTTATTTGAAGAAATTTCATCAAAATATAAAGCACTTTTTATTTGCTATAATTGAGTATATTGCTTTAATAAGAAAAAAAACTAAAAGTACAATGTTGTAATAAAAGTAGGATGTATTTATGTATTGATAAAACCCTACTTTTAATTCTTTCTAAAACAGCATCATACTTTCAATTTTTTCTTTTATTATTAAGGCATTGTAGTTTTACAAATCTTTCTTATTAAAACATCATACTTTGAAAAATATTATTAGGTAGATCTTTCAAAATACAACACTATAAAAAACAAACCAATGAAAGTACATGGCTATTTCTTTCATTAAACCCTATATATTACATAACAAAAAAAAAAAAAAAAAAAAAAACATAATAGAGATTTATATCTAAGAACATAAGTAAAAAGAAAACTAGATTATATATATAGGCAATTACCTCCGAGCTGGTTGTTTTTTCTTGACATTTTTACCCATAGGGGCTTCTTTCATAATAAAGACCTCAAGCTGATCTGCTTCTTTATAGTAATTAACCATTCTTTGAAAGTCCTTATCTTTAGAAACAGTAATGAGATTCTTTTTGTTTCCAGGCAAGAAATACTTAACAACCATTCCATCTACAGTTGAATCAATAGTTTCTGCAATTTCTTGTTTGAAACCACTTAATTGCATATTTTCATCAAGATCAACTGCATATGCTTCACCTCCACCATAAGTCATGGATCCATCATCATGGGTGTCAAAATCACCACCATATTGGCAAATTGCAATCATTTTCTTTGATGGAACTATCGCCATTTATGGCAAATGTAGTTTGATAGCAAACCTGAATGTTTATTTATCACCAAAAGGAAACTGTCAATTTAGAAACTTTAAAACAATAAGTGTATTTGAACCTTCTGGAGACATTGATTTGTTTACTAATACAACAATATTCATATCATTTAAGCCAAATTTAGCAGAGATGTAACAGATAGATAGGTGATTTTAACAACAAACACCCAAAAAGTCTAAATCATACAACGATCAAAAGGAGATACAAAATGAAAGGTACCAAACACTACAAATTTGTAAAACAAGAAAAGCTAAAAACGAAACATGTCAAAGAGACAAAGACAGACTCAAATGATCCAAAAATCCAAATCAAACAGGTATTTTATCCAGAATTTCATATCAGTGTATGCAGTTACATTACAAATTCTTGTGTTCATTCAAACTACACAAGCTGAACCGACTATTCCTCTATCATCTGCGTCCATTAAAGGGTACAGTAATTCTTGAAATTTTGTACAGCAAATCAAGTACAATCTTCAATTGAAATTGAATTCGTTTCAAATCGACATCTGGGTTTGTACCAATTCATGAACCATAAATTCATCAAATCTGAATAACCTTTACAGAAAGCAAATCCGCAGTTAACCTAAACTTCAAAATTCATATCAACAACTTACACCGAACCCTTACAAGAACGAAGAGATAGATTACATGACAAATAAAGCCCCACAACGAACTAAAGTTCGAGTATTTAGCATGATCAAACTGTTAGTGACAAAAAACCCAAAACACAAAATCACATAAGAACAGCGATACCAAATCAAAAAAAAGTCAAACCCTAAAAATCTGATAAACAGAACACAAAAACCCAAATCCGAAACATCGCAATTACTCAAGATTAACACAATCTAGCTAAAATTGAGTCCAAAGACTCATCGGAACTCATGATGAGAACCCGATTGTGCGTTCATCCTTTTGTTTAAAGGTTTGAGATGGACAAAATAGAACGAATGAGAAAGAGTGGAAGGGGGGAAGTAAAAGGGAATACCTGGTAAAGATTAGGGTGAAAATACGAAACTTTTGGATGAAATTTTCTGGTCTGCCCTTGAAGATTGCAGGTAGGGCTAAGGGGGTTGAGAAGACGAGGAGAGAAAGAATGGGGGATAGAGAGAGAAAAGGGTTAGAGAAAGAGGGAGGAAGAGAGGCGCATCTATGGAAGCTTAGGGGGGTGCAATAGGGCAAACTATATTATATATACCTAGCATCTAGAACCCTACATCTATTTTTCAATTCAATACCCTATTCGCAGCCGTTGATTTCCTTTTATCCTTAGTTTTGATCCCTTGATTGAATAAGAGTACACAATACGGACTGGGTTTGCTACCACCTAACAATTTCTCATATCCCATCTTCATCCACATTTATATCGCTATTTCGCAATTAATATTATGGACTTCTCTCGCTAAAACTAAATTTATAGTATTTAGAAGTTATAGTTTTTTAGAGCATTAGGTATGGGTCATCGTTATAACATCAAATTCATATGTCACCTCATCTATAACATCACCATAACATCAAGAGGGAAATGGTGTTCCTCATGTTATAACATGTTAAAAAGTAGAGAGAGAAAAAAAGAAAATGATTTGATTGGTTGATAAAGGCAACAACCAATTAAACTTCCCGTTGCATCTTGTGTTTGTCACAACAAGATATGCCATAACATCCTCTTAACAAGAAGGGGGGTGGTGTTCATCTTGTTATGACTAGGTTATGAGATGCCACATCAGCAAAAATAGCACTTCTCGGTTCTCCATACCGTATGCTCTTATTTGTTATATATAAGTATGTTTGATAAAAGTAAATTATAAATTATATTAAAAGAATTTGTCTAACAACTAAATATGAAATATAATAATTAAATAGTAATTTTAATTTAGAAATTTTGGTTTAAACTAAAAACTAAAAATTTATATCTAAGTGAGCCTTTTGTTTAAATCGGACTTTTGTTAAAAGGTAAAATATATAAGCTTACTAAAAGTCTGCTGCCAAACATGCCATTAAATTGTTAATTTATTGTTTTATCAACTTTAAACTTTAATTAAATGATATGTTTAATAATTAATCTTTTTAATTTTTTTTATAAACTCGTTTAATTTATTTTTATCTATGTTTTTTTATATATTTTTTTCAACTTTATCTATATAAGATATTATATAAAATCTTTCTTTAATTGGACGTTTTTGAAATACAAATTATATTTTAATACGGAATTATACAGTTATATTGGATGTGTAGTACATAAATTTCAAAAAATTATTGCATTCTCAACAACCTAGCTTCGCTACATTACTATGAGCAGAGCTACGACCACCCTCTCTCCTTATAATTACAAAAACAAAACATTGAAAACATTATATAATTGTTATAGAATTTTATTTCATAAATCAAATGTTATTAAATATTTAATATAAATAAGTAATTAGTAAACAATTAAAAATATTTAAAACTAAAATATGATTAAAGGAGAAGGAATAAGATCTTGAAAAATATAAAAGAATATTGGCCATTTAATGTATTTAAAATGTATACTAAATGGTCTTTTTTTAGAACAGGCAAATATAGTTACAACGGCTGGAGTAGCAAGTTGCTAGTGAGCAAAAGATTACAAAGCAATGAAATGAAATAACTTAACAGTGTATCACCAAATATAGCCTCATCCGCATTTTAGCGGATAGTTACACCATAGATTCCAATCTAATACTCATTTCTTTGTTCTATGTTTTATCCAAGTGAATAATACCGATTTAATATTATCCATTATTTTCGTCGGTTGACTTCTATAATTCCTGAATACTCTTTCGTTTCTTGCTTTCCATAGGCACCAAAGTGTCTCATATTTTATGGCATTAGCTACTTTCTTTTCTTTTGGGCCGTGTCCCCATCTGTTGTCCCCCACAAGAACCTCACGGACTGTAGTACAATCAATGGTTGAATTCGAGACTCCACACCATTGTGTAATCGCCAGCCACACTTCTTTCGCCAATGGGCATGAGATGAGTAAATGATATGCAGTCTCTTCATTATTTTGGCACTCACCACATGTAATTGAGTTAACTGTAACACCTCTTTTATTTAGCGCAACGATTGACGGAATTCTATTTTGTTTTGCTCGCCATACGAAACACGAGACCTTTGTTGGAACATCTTTCGACCATGAGAATTCCCCATCAGATACCTGGTGGGATGCCCTGTCAAGTCTAGTCCGCAATAAAGCTACCGAGAGATCATCACCCTCAACGAAATCTGATCTCCAGATGTCATTTGACATCTGTATAACATTTGTTGCTGCCAGACCCATTTTCTCCATTGCTACTAGAGCTTTGGCAATGTTCGACCATACACCCTTTAACGAATTCTTTGCAAAGTAGTAATTATCATTATTCCCCAGCTTATGTAAGGCACTAACTAGGCGAGCCCATAATTGTGATGGATCACTTTTAACTTTTCATAACCATTTCGACAACAGGGCCAAATTAAGAGATCTTAGAGAACCCAAGCTCATACCTCCACCTGTTTTAGAGCTGTGATTTTGTATACTCGATTTTTCCTCAATCCCTCCCCATATAAAATGCCTTTGAATTTTCTCGAGTTCTTGGATTACCCCAATTGGTGCAGCAAACAAAGATAAATAATACGTGGGTAGGTTCTCAAGGACTGCTTTTGCTAGTGTTATACGACCTCCAAAACTTAATGTTTTTGACTTCCATATCGATAATTTTGACTTAAATTTATCTATTATAGGTTTCCAAGCACTTTTTCGATTCATATTGTCTCCCACAGGTACGCCTAAGTAAGTAAATGGTAAGGTTGATGGTTCACATCCAAGCGGAGCGAACCAATCACTTACCTCACTGAAATCACCTCCAATACCGTACACTCGTGATTTGTTGAAGTTTACTTTTAGTCTAGAGACCACATGGAAACACCTTAGAATTCTTGCTAAGTTTGCAATATTCCTTTGTGACCAATCTCCTAAAAACAACGCATCATCTGCATAGAACAGATGAGAGATATTAATATTGGAGTTTGGAATTTTCACCCCATCAAATAATCCCCATTCCACTGCCGAACTCATCATAACATGTAGTCCTTCCATAGCTAATATGAAAAGGAATGGGGCCATTGGATCGCCTTGCCTTACTCCTTTTGACATCACAAACTCCTTTGTTGGGGAGCCATTAACTAATACGGAAGCTTTCGGCGATTCTAGACATCCTATTATCCATCTCCTCCATTTTTCACCGAAATTCATTTGTGTCATAATCGAATCTAAGTACTCCCAATTGACAGAGTCAAAAGCTTTATTGAAGTCCGCTTTAAATAATAACATTTTTCCACTTTTTTGGATCCACGAAACTAGTTCATTGAACATGAGAGGTCCCTCCAGTATGTTACGTCCCTCCAAAAAGGCTGATTGAACTTCATTAATACAACCCCCAATGTGTTTCTTCATACGATTAGCAAGGATCTTCGCTATGATCTTGTAAAGAGCCCCCATAAGGTTGATGGGTCGATAATCCTTGAGTGATATTGGATCCTTCACATTTGCCACCAAAGTTATAAATGATGAGTTGCATCCGTTTGAGATTTTACCCCACCTTTCAAAGTACTTTACAAACGCCACAATGTTATCCTTAACTAATTCCCAATAATTCTTAAAGAACTTGAACAAGTACCCGTCAGGCCCAGGTGCCTTTTCACTTCCACAGGAGCAAACCACATTTTGTATTTTATCCACTCCAATCTCCGCTTCCAACAAAACTCGAGCTTCTTGAGATAGTTTTTTTAAAATTGGGGTTTATCAATTTTGGTCTGGATCTCCATCTCTCTTTAAATTTTCTACCAAAAAAAGAATAAACCTCCTTTTTTATTTGGCCTGGGTTGGTAATCCAAGATCCGTCAACTGTCAGTCCATGCATGTGACACCAGTCAAATTTTGGTCAAAAATTAATTGATCAATAATCATAATTGGGATGAACCAAGTGGTAGAGTTTGTAACAAGGTTTCCAAAAACATAAAGAACACTGAAATCCGAGTTATAACGAAGAAGTTATGACCAATCGAAAATCTGCGTCAAAACCGGTAAAACACTATTCAGTGTAAAAAGTGAATTTTCGATAAAGGATTTTTAGCCTTAACAATCTTAATGAAACTTGTAGAAAATGTTAAACCGAGAACGTTTATAAAAAGAACGTCAAAATTTGACTTCGTATGAGGAAGTTATGATTTTTCGAAGTTTCGGTTTAGCAGTAGACAACTAAAAAATCGAAATATAAATCGATCGATATTTAGCCGACGCAACTTAAACGAGAATTGAAGGTCTCGTCAAAAGTAGCACAACGGTAAAAAGACAGACGAAAACGGACGTCGAATGAAGAAGTTATGAATTTTTAACGGATTCCCGTCCCGGTCTGTTTAAAATAATATTATTAAAAATAAATTCAAAATCAACCGAGAAAGTCTAAACGAAAGTCGTAGAGTATGATTTTACCTACGTGTGCATATAAAGAACGCCAAAAACGGAGCTCGTATGCGAAAGTTATGATTTTCGCAAGTTTTGGCACAAAAATAAAGAAAAAATAGGAAAAACCGGGCAATTTCGCATGTGACACGTCACCTCGCACGTGGCAGCTGCTGAGTGGACCGAAGCCATGCGTGGAACCTCCTGATTGGACCGCAGCCGACGTCCACTAAGAAGCGAACAGCCTCGCATCGGACACCCCGGAGACACCCCCCTCGCAACGTGGCATTCCACCATTGGACCGAAGGTTGGTCAAATCTGAAACCTACATCTGTCCGAGGCACGTGTCTCGCACCGGGTCCGAGCTTCACAACCGCCTCAGACTTCGCACGTGGCTTCACTGCTGACCGACGCGTGGCTGCTGACTCCTCGCCCTCGCCAGCTGTCCGATGACTCACCAACCTTGGTCGAACCCTCGCACCCCTATATAAAGGGTGCGAGACTTCTCGGATTTGAGAGGTTTTTCACCCCATTTTTCACCCAATTTCACATTTTCACCCCCTCGACTTTCTCACGACCCCCCAAGGCCCCGGTATCGTGTCTAAAGCCCGAAGCAAGCCCCGGAGCCCCGTAATTCTCGAGAAGTCATCCTCTCTCCTGTCTAAAGCCCGAAGCAAGCCCCAAGGCCCCAATTTCACATTTTCA